TATATATATATATGAGATATTGCAATGTTTTTTATTGCAAATCAAGTTTAGGTCACAAAACAAAGACTCTTGTTATTATTATTATTATTGTTATTATTTTATTGTATTTTTTTGTGTGTGTTCAGTAATTTTCTAATCCAATTCAGTCCAACTAGTGGTGGTTAACTCATACCACTTTAATGGATGTATTATATACTTTAAAAAAAAAACTACTTGGTTAAAAAAAAGGTGAACAACAAAAACGATTGGTTTGCAACGCCCAGAAGACAAACTGAACCCGGGCCAAAATGAGCCCATAGAAATGGGTCAGTAGTTTTCACATGWACAGCTGTGAAGGAACTAGCCATTAGCCATAATAGCATCATCAGTTCTTAGCTGTAGCATTTCCGGTGTAGCCACAGGCACTTCCTGTTGGTGTAAAGATATATAAAATAAAGTTTGCATGAACTGCAATGACGTTTGTGAGATCAAAGCTGTTTCAGAAGTCTGCTTCCACACAGAACTGGTAATCATTACTGCACCATAGCTTCACTTTTCTTTTACTTTTACCTTTTTTTTTTTTTTTTTTTTTTGTCATTGTGCTGAGAGGCCTTACTTTCCTGCATCGTATGGATTTGTGTGTGTTCTCACAGAGCTGTGACGGTTCTGAATACACTCTACAAGGGCCAGCTGGTGGTGATGACGTCACAGGGCTGTCGGCCGAGCCGGCCCACTACCAGCTACTGTCTGAGCTGGGTGAGCTTGAAGTACACCAGCCAAAAACTCTGAAAATTACTCTAAATATGTGTTCATTAGAATCCTTCAAAGACGGGGGATATTTGACTTCATATCAGATCACTGTGTCACAGGGAGGGGCTTCAACAACCTGAGCCAGGTGAACATGGCACGCCACATCCCCACGGGCCAGCTGGTGGCGGTAAAGCAAACCAACCTGGACGAGTGCACGGAGGAGGAGCTGCTGCAGCTCATGGTGAGCTCATAAACTGAGAGGGGACATAATGTGACTTTTTTATTTTGTTACATGCTTTGGTCAAAGTGCAACAGGATTACWGTACCAAAGTCCTCTCGGACACACACTGTCCTCAGAGCTGTTTTCTACACAGCTGAGTTTTTTTGTATGCAGAGTGGAATGAGGCGTGATTCTAAAAGTTGGTTGTAAACCTAAAATGACCCAAGGGACTTGGAGCAGTGTCTAATCCTGGTCCTCGAAGACCACCTTACTCCTTGTTGTGTCTAAACTGAGTCAGCATTCACATTATTATTTTTTAGGAGAAATGGATATAAAGCAGTAAAAAATAAGTAAGTAAGATTTCTTATGTGTCAAACTTTAGAACGAGGTTCTGCTCACTCGGTTCTTCCGTCACCCGAACCTGCTGACGTCCCGCCTGGTCTTCAGCTCCTGCTGCCAGCTTTGGGTCCTCACACCACTCATGGCTTACAGTTAACCACCTCTACATCACTTTTATCCATTAAACTATCCAATTTAAGGGTCAAAACAAGCCTCTAGCCTGTCCTGTGTGCCTGCAGGTTCTGCAGATGCCTTGTTGAGAACATATTTCCCAGATGGGATGAGTGAGTCCCTGATAGCATACCTGCTGCACGGCGTCCTGAAAGCACTGGAATACCTGCACCGGATGGGCTACGTTCACCGGTCAGAAAGCCTGGATTCTAAGTATTACAGCTGGGATTTGTTTATTTTTGTGGGTTTCTAATTTTCTCGATGTGTTTCTCTCCTCTCAGGGGGGTAAAGGCCAGTCACATCCTGCTGTCAGGGGAGGGGCAGGTCTACCTTTCTGGACTCCACAGTGTTTATAGTATGATGCGCGATGGGAAGAGGCTGAGGGCRGTGTTCGACATGCCCCACCACAGCCCAGCACTGCTGCCGTGGCTCAGCCCAGAACTACTGCGGCAGGTCAGGATTCACTAGTTTACTCCAAAAAGGTCGATGCATATWGCCCACCGCCTTTCATGTCAGAGTCCAAGCTCAAAGGGAACTCCGACTAGCTGGAACATTAGACATTATTTGATAAACATTTCATGTGCTTCAACTATAAAAACAAGACTAAAAACACTGTAGGCTGTTTAGTTCTTAAAATCACTAGAGCTATCCAGTTTAAACATTCATTTTGGACAGTGTCTGACGTTCAGCCCTTTTAAATGAAACCAGAGCCTGGCAGCCTGACACTGAACATGATGACAACAAACAGAGCTGCTGCATGGAGGGAGACCTTCAGCTTTAACCTTTTAGCTGTTGCGTTAGTGCCCATGCTTTATATACTCTCTCTGTGTGTGTGTGTGTGTGTGTGTGTGTGTGTGTGTGTGTGTGTGTGTGTGTGTGTGTGTGTGTGTGTGTGTGTATCGTGAACAACTTTTAGTAGAACAGGCCAACATTAGCAAGTAGTCGGAGATCCCTTTAAGTCTTTTAATGCTCAGACTGTGTGCTGGGAATGTCTCAGCTACAGGGGTGTCAAACTCAGGTCTTTGAGGGATGCTATCCTGCATGTTTTCCTTGTTTMTCTGCTCCAACACACCGGATTCAGTGATTCAAWTACCTCTTAAAATTCTGTAGAAGCCTGTTRATCATCTATTCRTTYAAATCARGTGTGTTTGAGCAGGGTCRTAAGAAAACATGCTGGATTGTGGCCCTCAAAGATTGGAGTTCAACACCTGTGCTCTACCTCATTAAACTTTGACTCAGTATCAGTAAAATTAGCTGAATTATGGTCACTTTTTGTTGGCTAAGGTCAGTAGGCTGTAGCAGCTATCTTGAATTAGTACTTCTTTTAATAAGCACTTAGAGAATGTGTTAAAAAGAGTGTTTGTCTGTTCTCAGTAGGACCTGCACGGTTACGGTGTGAAGTCAGACATCTACAGTCTGGGGATTGTAGCCTGTGAGCTGGTCAGCGGCAGGGTACCTTTCCAGGACATGCCACCCACTCAGGTAAAGACTTGTCCCTAAAGTGCAATAAGAAAACATGTGAATGTGTTCCAGTAAGTCTAGGTTTTGTGACCCGGCCCGCTCAGATGCTACTGCAGAAGCTGCGCGGCTCCCACTGCTGCCTGCTGGACGTGGCTCCCTTCCCACTGGGAGAGTTGGGCGGTCTGAAGGTGTCGCGGTCCGGCGTGGACTCCGGCATCGGAGAGAGCGTGGCCACGGGCAGCCTGACGCACAGTGCCGCAGCACCCCCTGCCGACCGACCTCAGAGCCCCGGACCCAAAAACCACTCAGCCACGCTGCACAACCTGGTGCAGCTGTGTCTGCAGCAGCAGCCTGAGCGCAGGTCAGTGTGGCTGCAGCATAAAGTGATTACATTTATACATAATACAAACACATAAAACCTGGCTTTGTTTTTGTCCTGGGTAGACCGTCGGCATCTGAACTGTTGAGCCATGCCTTCTTCAAACAGGTAGGTTTCAAAATAAGGCCATCAGACTCAACTAATGCAACAAATTGTCCTGATGCATCTCAGTAATCCAGGTAAAAAAATTAAAAAGAAAAAAATTGTATAGGTCTTCTGGACGGGTTCTTCTCTAATGAAACGTTTCGTCTCTCCTCCACGAGACTAAAAGGGATAAACAACAGCTGAAAATCTGCAGAAGAAGATAAAATTAAGTTGCTAAAGCTAAGAAAAGCAGAAAGCTAGCTGAAAAACAAAACAGCCAAACACTTTACGAGAAGTAGAACATTGGCTAAAAGCTAAAAGGAAGCACAACACTTAAATGTCCTGATGCATCTCAGTAATCCAGGTAAAAAATCAAAAGGAAAAAAAATTGTATAGGTCCTCTGGACGGGTTCTTCTCTAATGAAACGTTTCGTCTCTCCTCCAAGAGACTTCTTCAGTCTGAGAGTTTCAGGCAAAATTCAGGCTTTTAAGCACTGCCTCCAGGTGACTGATACATCACATGGCTATCGTTCACAGGTGACTGAGTATCAGTCACCTGGAGGCAGGACTCAAAAGCCTGAATTTTGCCTGAAACTCTCGGAGAGGAGAGACAAAACGTTTCATTAGAGAAGAACCCGACCAGAGGACCTATACAATTTTTTTTCCTTTTGATTTTTTACCTGGATTACTGAGATGCATCAGGACATTCATTTGTGGACATTTATGGTTTGATTTCTTTGTATGTATGGATCACTTGGGTTGTTACTGAC